TCAAATAAATAAATAAAATCTTTAAAATAAATAAATAAATAAAAGTATAAAAAATAAGCTTGTTAAAGACTCTAACTCGTGGTCTATTAACGTAAAAAGGCAAGAAATTTGTTGAAATAACAGGCACTCTGTATAAAAACGTTGAAAGGTGTTAAATAAAAATCTGGAGCAAGAGAAATTTTAAAATTTACTATATATGACAATAAGTGAAATATTACTATAGAGTTTATATTGTTGAGTACAACAATAGTTATGGCTATAAGTGAAACAATAAATATAATTAAGTATACATATATTCAACAAATATTTATTGAACACTTAATTTACATAAGCATTACAAAAGACCTAGTTTTTAAGTTTACAAAACCTAGGGGAGTCAAGTAAGCAGTATTTACAATAGATGCATATTGAATGTTTAGTTGGTTGCACAGAAAGGTCTAGGTCTTTCTGGGATCAGTTAAGACCAGATTTGAAAGATGACCAAGAGTTTGTCAAGAAGATAAATTTAGAAAAGGGAAGAGAGTCATAAAGGCATGAGAGATTTGGGGGAAATATAAGGATGTTGGTACAACTAGAACATAAAATAAAAGAGAATATGTAATTTAAAAGAAAAGATGTAATAGTAATCACCCCTTGCTTTTCCCACCCTAATATATATACAAGATTTTCCAAGGAGAAAGAGAAAAATGTGGTGCTCTATTACAGACCTCTGGCAGTATTGCCCCAGGTTTCAAAAAGGGCAGATGACATATCTTTTCCCCTGCTTGATTAAGCAAATGTTTAAGGTACCTCTGTGTTCCTTTACCACAAACTTCGGCCAGAAGAGTGAATCTGATTTTAATCTTGACTAATATAAAATATTAAAGGAAATTCAATAATCTTTTATAAAATTACTTTTCATACTTAAGAAGTATAAGTAAGCTAAAGATTTTTGTTTTTGCTCATTTTAAAGTTTTGTGTTTTTTTCTAATTTTATTTTAGTTAGCCACCATACAGTACATCATTAATGTTTGATGTAGTGTTCCATGATTCATTATTTGCTTATAACACCCAGTGCTCCATGCAATACATGTCCTCCTTAATACCCATCACTGAGCTACCCATCCCCCACCCCACCCCCTCTAAAACCCTCAGTTTGTTTCTTGGAGTCCATAGTCTCTCATGGTTCCTCTCCCCCTCTGACATCCCCCCCTTCATTTTTCCCTTCCTTCTCCTAATGTCTTCCCTGCTATTCCTTATGTTCCATAAATAAGGGAAACCATATGATAATTGACTTCCTCTGACTGACTTATTTCACTTAGCATAATCTCCTCCAGTCCCATCCATGTTGATGCAAAAGTTGGGTATTTATCTTTTCTGATGGCTGAGTAATATTCCATTGTATATATGGACCACATCTTCTTTATCCATTCATCTGTTGAAGGGCGTCTCGGCTCTTTCCACAGTTTGGCTATTGAGGACATTGCTGCTATGAACACTGGGATGCATAGGGCACTTCTTTTCACTACATCTGTGTCTTTGGGGTAAATACCCAGTAGTGCAATTGTTGGGTCATAGGGTAGCTCTATTTTTAACTTTTTGAGGCACCTCCACACTGTTTTCCAAAGTGACTGTACCAACTTGCATTCCCACCAACAGTGTAAGAGGGTTCCCCTTTGTCCACAACCTCTCCAACATGTGTTGTTTCTTGCCTTGTCAACTTTTGCCATTCTAACTGGTGTAAAGTGGTATCTCAGTGTGGTTTTGATTTGAATTTCCCTGATGGCTAATGATGATGAACAATTTTTCATGTGTCTGTTAGCCATTTGCATGTCTTCTTTGGAGAAGTGTCTGTTCGTGTCTTCTGCCCATTTTTTGACTTGATTATTTTTTAGCTAAAGATGTTAAAAGACTCAGTCTGTGTTACAGGAATTTATTGGAAAATAAAGAGTGCCAAAAAAGTAAATTTTCCAGTTAATTAAGGCTTATATGTTTAAGCTGAGATTTTTTTTTCTGTTGTTCAACCCAAGTAAATTAGATTGTCCATGCTTTATTAAATGGAACACATTTGTGGTTTAAAATCATCATGGTTAAATATTAAATTAAAATTCCAGACCTTCTGAAAGATATGTTATTTCTCCTGCACATATGATCCCAGGATCACACATTTATCCACATTTCTTCTATAATTCTTGTCCTCTCCTTCATTCAATACTTCTCATTGTTTTAAATTGTTCTTCCTTTATCGTTATTTCTATTTATTGTATTTTCTAATTTGCAGCCAAAATAAACTGGGCAGTAAAGTCAGTACAATCAGTAACATCTTTTTTCATGTGTTACTCACAATCATTAGACCCTTTAAAAGTAAGGTAGCTCCAGGATATTCCAAAGAATTAAGTGTATAGATTTTATAAGGATCTATTTTAGAAACATCTTTAATTCTTTGGTCTGTATCTGTGTTCTTGATGGTTTAGATATCAGAAAGAAAAAATTTTACTACAGTTTGACTATCTTACACAATTAATACTTATCAACAACATGTAACTAATCTTGAAATGATGGAAAGTTCTAAGGGCAATCTGATGCTGACACCATTAAGAAGATGCACAGAAATATTGTGCAAAAGATTTTCAAAGGAGCCCTCAAATTGACTTATAAGATTTGTTCATCTCCTTATGCTCCTGAAGACACAGGTAAAGTATTAAGTAGATTTGGATCATCACCAACATTCATTTATGCCAAACAAAAGGCTGGCTGAGACAGTAATGCACTTGCTGATGTGCATTTTTTTTAAGTTGTCAGTGCATAAAATTTCCAATGGTCTTTAGATATTGTAGATAACTTTTATTTGTGTTATTTTTTTAGGGCAGCATAACTATTTATGTGCTGGGAGAAATGACTGCATTGTTGATAAAATCCGCAGAAAAAACTGCCCAGCATGTCGCCTTAGAAAATGCTGTCAGGCTGGCATGGTCCTTGGAGGTAATGCTTATGTTTCATCATTAATACTGTTGAATATTTACACTCTAAAACCATGGGTCAGGAAATCCTAGTTTTCTTATTCATCTTTGTTCTTGCTTTGCTTTTTCTGTTGTGGTTATTGGTGTCTGAATGAAGCAACCATTAGTATCTCATTAACTATAGATTTTCATCATTTTGAGGTCTGTTATGAGAAGTAATAAGCCTTCATTTGTCTATATTGCCTATAAGTAAATGTTATGAGAAGTTCACCAACCTCTTATTAAGTTACATGGGTTGGATCTAGGCTCTGACATTGACTGTCTGTGTGGCCTTGATAAGTCTCCAACCCTTTCTGGACATCAGTATCCTTATCTGTAAAATGAGAACACTGAGGTTCTTTCCAGCTCAAAAATTGATTCTGTGAATTGGTCAAGTACAATGATCTCCATCCCTCCCTCTCTCCATCAATCCCTACCACCCTATGTCCCTTCCTCATTCTCTTTAAGTAACTATATATTGAGCCCTTACTACTTACCAGGTACTATTCTAAGTTCTGGGAGTATAACAGCCATAAATATATACATACATACATATATACATGCATAAATAAATAAATAACCAACCAACCATCTACCCTAATGGAGCTTACATTCTGGAGAGAGGAGCAATAAATACTTATGTCAAATTATGATAAGTGCTATCAAAAAATATTACACAGGGTGAGTTAATAGGAAGTATCAGGGAGAGGAGTCACTCCTGAATCCTTTACTCTAATATTTTCATTTCACTTAGCCATTTCCTTTTTCCCCCTTCTTTTTTTTTTAAGATTTTGTTTATTCATTTGAGAGAGAGAGACAGAGAGAGCACAAGCAAGGGGAGAGGCAAAGGGAGAGGGAGAAGCAGACTACCTGCTGAGCAGGGAGCCCGATGTGGGGCTGCACTCCAGTTCCTGGATATCATGATCTGAGCCAAAGGCAGATGCTTAACCATCTGAGCCACCCAAGTGCCCTTCCCCCACCCTTATAAATATATTTTCTTTTTTGTTCTTCCCCCTTTTAAGTTTTATTTTTTCAAGTATTCTTTTTTTTTCTTTCTTCAAAGTTTTATTTAAATTCGTTAGTTAACGTACAGTGTAATATTATTTTCAGGTGTAGAATTTAATGATTCATCACTTACATATACAGCACCCAGTGGTCATCACAACAAGTGCCTTCCTTAATCCCCACCACCCATTTCACCCATCTCCCTGACCACCTCCCCTCTACTAAGCATCAGTTTCTTTCTTGGTTTGCATGCATCTCTCCTTTTTTCACCCCTATGTTCATTTGTTTTGTTTCTTAAATTCCACATGTGATTGAAATCATATGGTGTTTCTCTTTCTCTGATTGGCTTATTTCACTTAGCATAATACACTTTAACTCCATCCACATTGTTGCAAATGATAAGAGTTCATTCTTTATTGTGGCTGAGTAATATTCCATTGTATATACATATCACATCTTCGTTATCCATTCCTCAGTCAATGGACATTTGGGCTCTTTCCATAATTTGGCTATTGTTCATAATGCTGCTGTATAAACTTTGGGGTGCGGGCACCTGGGTGGCTCAGTCACTTAAGCATCTGCCTTTGGCTCAGGTCATGATCCCAGGGTCCTGGGATCGAGCCCATGTTGGGCTCCCTGCTCAGCAGGGAGTCTGCTTCTCCCTCTCCCTCTGCCCCTCCTCCCTTCTCGTTCTCTCCCTCTCTGAAATAAATAAAAATCTTTAAAAAATTGAAAAATAAACATTGGGGTGTCTGTATCCCTTCAAATTAATATTTATGTATCCTTTGCAAAAATACCTATTAGTGCAATTGCTGGATCATAGGGTAGTTCTATTTTTAAGTTTTTGAGGAACCTGCATACTGTTTTCTAGACTATGCACCAGTTTGCTTTCCCACCAACAGTGTAAGAAGGTTTCCCTTTCTCTGCATACTCGCCAACACCTGTTGTTTCTTGTGTTGTTCATTTTAGCCATTCTGACAGATGTGAGGTGGTATCTCATTATAGTTTTGATTTGTATTTCCCTGATGATGAGTGATGTTCAGCATTTTTTCATGTGTCTGTTAGCCATCTATATGTCTTCTTTAGAAAAATGTCTGTTCATGTCTTCTGCCCATTTCTTAACTGGATTATTCGTTTTTTGGGTGTTGAGTTTTATAAGTTCTTTATAGATTTTGGATACTAACCTTTTATCTGTCATTTGCAAATGTCTTCCCCATTCCATAGATTGTCTTTTAATTTTGTTGATTGTTTCCTTCATTATGCAGAAGTTTTTTATTTTAATGTAGTCCCAATAGTTTATTTTTGCTTTTTATTCTCTTGCCTCAGGAGACATATCTAGTAAGAAGTTGCTATGGCTGATGTCAAAGAGGTTTCTTCCTTTCTCCTCTAGGATTTTGATGGTTTCCTGTCTCACATTATTGTGTGTGTGTATGGTGTAAGAAAGGATACAGTTTCATTCTTTTGCATGTTGCTGTCCAGTTTTCCCAACACCATTTGTTGAAAAGACAGCCTTTTTTCCATCGGATATTCTTTCCTGTTTTATCAGAGATTAATTGACCATATAGTTGTGGGTTCACTTCTGGGTTTTCTATTCTGTTCCACTTATCTATGTGTCTATTTTTGAGTCAGTATCGTGCTGTCTTGATCACTACAGCTTTGTAATATAACTTGAAGTCTGGAACTGTGATGTTTCCATCACTTAACCATTTCTTAAGCAGTATTTCTGATATGCATTTGATGTAATAGTTATAATTTTTCTAAAACATTAGAATGATGTATTAAATCATCATAAAAAGCTTATGTAGTTTTTTTCTTTTAGAGATATATATACACATGTATACATATTTCTTTTTTTTAAGATTTTATTTATTTATTTCACAGCGAGAGCAAGAGAGCACAAGCAGGGTGAGCAAAAGAAGGAGAGGGAGAAGCTAGCTCCCTGTCGAGCAGGGAGCCCAATGTGGGGGCTTGATCCCAGCACCCTGAGAGCGTGACCTGAGCGGAAGGCAGACGGTTAACCATCTGAGCCACCTGGGTGCCCCCTTTTATATATATATGTGTGTGTGTGTGTGTATACACACACACACACATATATATGTATATTTGTATAGAGATATACTTGACATACAGGTTACTTTAGTTTCAGGTGTAAAACATAGTGTTTTGACAACTCTATACATTATGCTATGCTCATCATAAGTGTAGCTACAATCTGTCTTCATACAATGCTATTACAATACCACTGATTTAATTCCCTATGCTGTAGCTTTCATCCCCATGACTTATTCATTTCATGAATAGATAACACGTACCTCTCACTCAATTTCACCTATTTTGCTGATCGTCTCAGCTCCTTCCACTCTGGCAACCATGTTTGGCCTCTGTATTTATGGGTCTATTTCTGCTTTTTTATTTGTTTAGATTTCAAATATAAGTGAAATCATATGGTATTTGACTTTGTCTGATGTATTTCACTTAACATAATACCCTCAAAGTCCATCTATGTTGTTGCAAATGGCAAAATCACATTCTTTTTTATGACTGAGTCCATTGCACATGTATACCACATCTTCTTTATCCATTCATCTATTGATGGACACTTGGGTTGCTTCATATTTTGGTTGTCATTTATAATGCTGAAATAGACATAGGGGTGCATATATCTTTTCAAATTAGTGTTTTTGTTTTCTTTGAGATCCAGTAGTGGAATTACTGAATCATATGTTATTTCTATTTTTAATTTTTTGAGGAACCTCCATACTGTTTCCCATACTGGCTGCACCAATTTTCATTCCCACTAACAGAGCACAAGTCTTCCTTTTTCTCCACATCCTTTGAACACTTGTTATTTATTACCTTTTTGATTCCAGTCATTCTGACAGGTGTAAGGTGATATTTCATTGTGGTTTTGGTTTGCATTCCCCTGATGATTAGTGATGTTGAACATCTTTCATGTGTTTTTTGGCCATATGTATGTCTTCTTTGGAAAAATGTCTATTCTGGTCCTCTGCCCATTTTTAATCAGGTTTTTTTTTTTTGGTATTGAATCATGTAAGTTCTTTATATATTTTGGATATTAACACCTTATCGGAGATATCATTTGAAAATATCTTCTTCCATTTGTTAGGCTGACTTTTTGCTTTGTTGATGGTTTCTTTCACTGTGCAAAAGCTTTTTATAGTTTATAGTCCCACTAGTTTAATTTTGTTTTTATTTCCCTTGCCTGAGGAGACATAACTAGAAAAATGTTGCTAAGGCTAATGTTCAAGAGATTACTATCTGTGTTTTCATCTGGGAGTTTTATGGTTTCCAGTTTCACATTTAGGTCTTTAATCCACTTTGAGTTTATTTTTGTGTATGGTGTAAGAAAGTGATCCAATTTTATTCTTTTGCACATATCTGTCCAGTTTTCACAGCACTATTGAAGAGACTGTCTTTCTCCTATTACATATTGTTGCCTCCTTTGTCATAGATTAATTTACCCTATAAGATTGGTTTATTTCTGGGTCTCTATCCTGTTACATTGATCTATGTATCTGTTTTTGTGCCAGTACTATACTGTTTTGATTATTACAGCTTTGTAGTATATCTTGAAATCTGGAATTGTGATACCTCCAGCTTTGTTCTTTCTCAAGACTGCTTTGGCTTTTCAAGGTCATTTGTAGTTCCATACAAATTTTAGAATTATTTGTTCTAGTTCTATGACAAACACTATTGGTATTAGCAAATACGGATTGTAGTGAATCTGTAGATTGCTTTGGATAGCATGGACATTTCAACAATACTAATTTTTCCAATCCATGAGTATGGTATACATTTTCATTTGTGTCCTCTTCAATTTCTTTCATTAACGTCTTATAGTTTTCACAGGTCTTTCACCTCCTTGATTAAGTTTATTTCTAAGTATTTTATTCTTTTTGTTACAATTGTAAATAGTATTGTTTTATTTCTCTTTCTGATACTTTGTTATTTGTAATA